TAACAATAATAAGGAGACAAAATCTAAGGCGTCAAGATCACTTTCATTAAAGAAATATTCGCCCACTCAGGGCTAATTTGTTATTGCTTTTTCTAAACGCTTCTGCTCAATTTTCAACAAGCAGCTAATAATTGTGTTTAGTGAATTTTTTTTGACATGCTTATTAAAACTATTTTTACTTTTAATGGAGTGTTTTTAAAAGCAATCTGATGATGCTTTTAAATGTATCTTCTGCCTTTTTTCAGTTTATATACTATACTTATCTTTTAACAATGATCATTAAGCAAGGTTCTTCTAGACACCTTAACTGTTTTTTAAGCCGTTATTTTCAAGAGAAAAGTTTGACAAAAAAGTGAAGTTCCAAGTGTGAAAATATTGGCTAACTATATGGTTGAAAGGGTTTCTTGAACAGACAGTTTTTTGAAGAAACCTCCTTGAAAATAATAATCCCCAACTATGCCGTTGAGGATCGAAGCATCCTAATGCAGTCTGGATCCTGTGAATGTGGGGGCCACCCACCACGTGAATGTGTGAAAGAGAACGCGGTTTTGTTTCCGCGTGCATGGAGGCCCACCCGACTTCATCCTTATGCAGCACAATATAAATATCAATGAGAATCTTCTCTAGGTTTGTGTGCACGGAGGGTAGGCGGCTGCAGCAAAAGGGTTCGGTGCAATTGTTTTGCGGCTGGAGGATAAAAAGCAGTCCCATTATTTTTTTTTGTGTTTTTGGTTTTGAGCAGCCCCCTTTATTGAGGGTTTTGTGCATCCTTTTGTAGAGAGAGTTTGTGAGGGATTTGAGAGAGTTTGTTTGAGGGTTTAGATTGTGATTGATTGTAAACCCTAGTTGTATTCTCTCCCTCTATTAGTGGATCTCTCCCCCTCCTTACCCCGTGGACGTAGGCAATTTGCCGAACCACGTAAAATTGGTTGTACTGCTATTTGTGTGATTTGTAATAGCTTTTAGGTTCCCTCGACGCGCAGTCCTAGAGCTGACGAGAGGAAGAGCTAATATCTCACTCTGATGAGATATTAGGCTTCAGATTCTTGTTCTCTTTGAGAAACAAGAATTCTTATTGCGACCTGACTCTCTTGTTGTGCTGCCGAAGTGCTGTCGAAATTTCCGCTGCGCACAACAGATCCACCAGGTTAGAAATGACGCGCATAACTCTGGGAAACATCCTCCTAGACTCGATGCTGCTGCGAGCTCCTTGACGCGACGATGCCAGCACCTTGACTACTTTCCCGGCGCGCGCTAGCACCCAAATTACCATTGCTCCTCTCTTTTTATTGTTATTTGCACGAGCTTTGATGATAATAGTGGCACATGAACCGTTACAAGCTTGTTACCGTTGCTCCTTGCTTTTCTTGTTCTTGTAGATGAGGTTACTTGGTGATGAGAGAGATGGCAGCGGTTTGTTAACTATTTTCTGAATTTTGGGTGTGAAAATATTGGCTAACTATATGGTTGAAAGGGTTTCTTGAACAGACAGTTTTTTGAAGAAACCTCCTTGAAAATAATAATCCCCAACTATGCCGTTGAGGATCGAAGCATCCTAATGCAGTCTGGATCCTGTGAATGTGGGGGCCACCCACCACGTGAATGTGTGAAAGAGAACGCGGTTTTGTTTCCGCGTGCATGGAGGCCCACCCGACTTCATCCTTATGCAGCACAATATAAATATCAATGAGAATCTTCTCTAGGTTTGTGTGCACGGAGGGTAGGCGGCTGCAGCAAAAGGGTTCGGTGCAATTGTTTTGCGGCTGGAGGATAAAAAGCAGTCCCATTATTTTTTTTTGTGTTTTTGGTTTTGAGCAGCCCCCTTTATTGAGGGTTTTGTGCATCCTTTTGTAGAGAGAGTTTGTGAGGGATTTGAGAGAGTTTGTTTGAGGGTTTAGATTGTGATTGATTGTAAACCCTAGTTGTATTCTCTCCCTCTATTAGTGGATCTCTCCCCCTCCTTACCCCGTGGACGTAGGCAATTTGCCGAACCACGTAAAATTGGTTGTACTGCTATTTGTGTGATTTGTAATAGCTTTTAGGTTCCCTCGACGCGCAGTCCTAGAGCTGACGAGAGGAAGAGCTAATATCTCACTCTGATGAGATATTAGGCTTCAGATTCTTGTTCTCTTTGAGAAACAAGAATTCTTATTGCGACCTGACTCTCTTGTTGTGCTGCCGAAGTGCTGTCGAAATTTCCGCTGCGCACAACAGATCCACCAGGTTAGAAATGACGCGCATAACTCTGGGAAACATCCTCCTAGACTCGATGCTGCTGCGAGCTCCTTGACGCGACGATGCCAGCACCTTGACTACTTTCCCGGCGCGCGCTAGCACCCAAATTACCATTGCTCCTCTCTTTTTATTGTTATTTGCACGAGCTTTGATGATAATAGTGGCACATGAACCGTTACAAGCTTGTTACCGTTGCTCCTTGCTTTTCTTGTTCTTGTAGATGAGGTTACTTGGTGATGAGAGAGATGGCAGCGGTTTGTTAACTATTTTCTGAATTTTGGAATTCTTAATTTCGAAGCGTTGAATAAATGTTATTTCGATTTTTCAGCATTGGTGATGAATCTAAATATGTGTGAATCGAACAAGAGAGATATATTGCTCTCAGTTGTATGTTATAAACCTTGGGCACATCACAAATAAATAAAACCAATTTGAGTAAGCTACGCCCTGCCATAATTTATACAAGACATTGCTAGAAAAGTATAAAGCAATAAACTGCATTAATTACATTTCCCCTTTACTTTGAGAAAGAAACAAAGATTGAAGAACTCGTATGTCATTGCAGAAGAAAGCTTTGTGCACAATGTAAATTAAATTTCTGAGAAAGATATGAAATGATTATGATGAAAAGACAAAATCTTATATTTGGAAGGAAAAAAAAACTTCTGAGATCAATTCTGTGGTCCTCGAACGTCAGGCAACAGCAGCAAGGATGCAGTCAGATACTTGAGGCCTCATTGTCAATGTTCTATTTGCAACCTTTATAGTTGGGAAATATGCTTCTCCGGAGTCGGAGTCACGTAGTCGGATGCGTGGGGGCATCAAAGGTTCGATTTGCAAGATCGAAGTCGGGGAAGATGCTTAGCCGGAGTCAGAGTCGTGAACGCCATTTGGGAGTTTGTTAACCCGAAAGGCCTACATTATTTTCTGTTTGTTTGAGGTGCTAACACTCCGTTAACTCCGAGTCGGAGTTAGGGTGTGCTTGGGGCATCACAATAGAGGTTCTACCTCAGCGTCGTCGGAGCTGGGAAAGATGCCGGAATGAAAGTCGATAAAGCTGTGAATTCGTATGTGTTGTGCGCGTCGCGGAAGCGTGACAACCAAACGGGCGTGCTTCGAGAACCAAATCAAACAAACGTCGAGATAAAGGCCAAACAAATCAAAACAACGGCACAAATCCAAACACAATAGTTTTACGTGGTTCGGCAATTGCCTACGTCCACGGGGCAAGAAGGGGATGTGGTTTTCACTAATAGAGAAAGAGTACAAACTGAGATTACAAATCACTCGAAGGAACAAACTAATCTCACCAACAAGCTCTTAATCTCTCCAAACAAAACCCTAAACAAATAGCTCAGAAAATACCTCTTTTCTGTGCTCCAAATATCCCCAATTTTTCTTCTCCAAAACCCTCAAGTTTTTCCAAGTTCTTCTCCACAGTATGGTCAAAGGTTTTTCTTAAGAACCTTGCCCGAAGTTGAGGTACCATGTTGTGAAGGTCACCGGAAGATCAATTCACAACAACTAAAAGTCTACAGTCTCCAAGGTTAACAGCATGAATGAACGCCCTGCAAGTAAAGAGACAAAAACATAAGAAAGTCAGCAAATGCAGGTTCCAGTTGTAAAGTTTCGTCACAATAGTTAATTGCATAATTGGGACAGGTACTACTAGCCATATATCCATGTCCACTTCATCAAATTACTTACGTAGCATGCACATCCAAAAATTCACTTTTAACTTAGGTATTATCCATGTCCACTTCATCAAATTACTTACGTAGCATGCACATCCAAAAATTCACTTTTAACTTAGGTATATTACTAACATATAGCCATGGCTCAGTCCATATACCAATAGGCAAATTAGAGAAGTATTACCATATATATTTGAGATATGCTTCACATTACGCTTATGGGAACACGATACAGATCTTCTGATGTGTAATGTACTTAACCGGCACATTTGTGTGAGGGTCAAATTTCTTGTAGAAGTGCTTATATTATCTTCAAATTAAAAATGGTGCCTTGTTTGTGATTACTAATTGTCATTTTCCATGAAAGTATACATCTATAACTGATGAACATAAGTATTTGAAAATTGAATGACCCACCGGGTGACCCAGTAAATAAACCGGTGGGTGTGCTGACCCGTTTATTATACAAGTCAGGGTTGGGTCAAAGTTATATGGGTCGGGTTAGTTTTGATCTGATCAGAAATGACCTGACTTGACATGACCGAACCCATTTGGATGTTACGAGAAGAATGATTAAAAATACTGATTTACCCCTACTGAGGTGCCTTTAGTTGACATTTCTTGCTAGTCTTTTGTATGGACTTTTTTTAAATTCTTAGCTTAAATAGTGAGGAGAGCACGCAGTGTTACAGAATTCTTATCTTCGAGCTAACAAAATGTGATAAGCAATATTCATACAATTCTTTCTCATAAAATTTCCTCCACACTGATTTAATTGACTGTAACCGAAGAAAAATTAACAAACGAAAAAGTAACAACGCAGGAAGTAAAGATTCTATTAGAAAACTTATAGAATGGAATGATCAATAACACCATTGTTTGAGCTACTGAGCTACTGAAGACTAGGACAATCAAACAATCAAACCTCCATTCTCCACCGCCAACTTAATCGTGAGAACGACCAGTTGACAAAAGTATAAGAAGTTGACCAATACCATGCAACAAAAGTACTCAAAAATTTAGTAACACCAAGTATCTTTACAGATATAAAAGAAATAATTGGTAGAAAAGTAGATACGTTCAAAAATTATTTCCTTTTATAACCGAGCTTGCAACATGTAAAATGTAATGTCAGCCACGCTAAAACTTCTTTATACATTTCAGTAGGAATCAGCAATAATGCGTATGAGGTCACATAAAACAAAAGTACTCGTGCTGATTGACCAACGATCAGGTAATGTACAAACCTAATGAAATTAAATGTGCCCTCCCACTTGTTAATCAAGAATTGCTAGGGGTGGCAGCGGTAACATAGGATACCACAACTGATACATCATCGAGCTTGCCTCCAGTATGATAATAGCCAGCCTCTTGGGCAGCAGCGGCAAAAGGAGAGATACAAGCCTTATCCATTCCTCGCTGGCGAGCAAGTGCAGCTATCTTCTGAGCAGTGGCCTGTGGCCCAAGCTTCACCTCCATTGCTTGCTTGATTATTTCTGCAACTTCATTTGTGTACACGTTATCAAATAGCCCATCGGATCCCGCAACAATTACATCCCCTGGTGCAACTGGGACCGTGAAGACCTGTCAATATTCACGTGAAGGAAAATTATTCTTTTCCTCACTTATCATAACTGACTTATTTAAAAAAAATTATGGTCTTCTAATATTGGTAGATTTCAAAAGAGTGTATATAAAAGATGCTTGAATAATGTATGCAGATATTCGAGGAGGTATGTGACCACAAGAGACTGCAAATTCCTTCTTTAAATTTTAGCATAATTCCAAGTTCAATACTTTAATCTGAGGAATAAACTTTTTTTTTTTGCAGTGTTCAAATAACATCATAATACTACAGCAGAACAGAATGTTCCTTCAGTCTTCGGCCACAGTTGATAACAAAAAAGGCGTCACTGTCTTCAGAGGTACAAATTTTGAAGCTTCAATATATTGTATGCATTCAAGCAACAAGGACAGCATTGTCTCCACCAGAAATGATCGAATAAAAGATTAAATTATATCATCAATTGGAATATTTGGTTAACAGATGCAACAGACAGTTGAAATTCAATAAATATCAACTTACTTGGCCGTCTCTAGGCAAATCACCAAGTCCACCAGCATCCAGTTGATAAGGATAGTTGAAATCATGCTGCTGTGAAGGTGACTCGAAGATAATAGACCCCTCACGAACAACTATAAATCCACTATCTCCTAGGTTAACAGCATGGATACTCTGCAAGTAGAGAAAGAACATGAGAAAGTTAGCAACATCACCGACATGTAGGTTCCCATTAATTTAAAAGCTTCATCGTGAAAGAATTGTACTAAGCTCAAATATATTACCTAATTGGGCATTGTTTTACTAGCATCATATCCAGTTCCAATCAACAGACTGACCAATGTAGACATGCTCACCATAGTTCAATTAAATATAGGTATATAGTTTATTACAAGATAGCCACGGATCAGTGCATAACCGACACACAAGTTAGAGCAGTGTTACCATACCTGAGATATGTTTTGATCCACATTACAATTATACATTACAATAATGATAATAGAATACATCTCTCTTGATATATGATGTCCGTATACAGCACTTTTTTTTGGTGAAGGTTAAAACTAAATTTCTTGAGGAAATACTTATTTATATTTTACTCCAAATTTAAAATGGTGTTTGTTTGTGATACATGAATAGACTGATAAGACTGATAAGAGAGCAACCCAGATCTGGATCTTGCTTTGCTTATGTCATTTTCACTGACCTCCAAAGCAGATAGCAAATCATGTTCTCGTTGAATAAAAGTTCTAATAAACATTCACACATTTAATGCTTATGTGCAAGGGCATCTTAGAAAACAGATAAAATCCTGTAATGATTTCATTTATATCACAAAAAAAATGTCTTTCATACATTTGCTGGAAGGGAAATTCTTAGCAGCTGTTTAATCATACACACTACCTTATGTACCTTTTAAGATCTCCCGCAACAATTTCTTAAGAGAGAATCCTCCACAAATTTGGGTTCTTCAGCCTTCACCAACCTTATACCAAGTTTTTCAGATAGACCACTTTACATAGCTATAAGGACCCAAACAAAGAATTTGGGTTCGATGATGAACATATATACTCCATAATATGAAATTGCATCAAACACAATGGGCTCGTCTAGGCCATAGTTTCCCAAATTAGGCCAGCTCAATTTCAGATTATCAGATGCTTCTGGTGTATAATTATGGCATGGAAACTGAGTTAATAAATCGTGATAAAGCATTTGAACTATTATGCCTGGGTTGACAATTATCGTTTAGTCCCGTTAAGTAGACTCGAACCATGACATAATAAACATGGGTCTCTGTATGAAATTGAGCATTCAGACTTCTTTAGTCAATAGTTGTTTCACAATTTTGTACACATTTAGATCCCAAGTTGATCCACATCACCTAAATCGAGGTAAAAATTGGATCTAAATGAAGTGAAACTGAAGCTACATCACTCTACAAAAATCAAGAGAATTCAAATTCCTCTCCTCAACTAGCCCAATAGACCTCCAATAAAAACAATCTAGAGGTCATTCCAAAGTGGCCATGCAAACCTCACTTAACAACCATGACCGTTCGGAACAGGGAAGACATAAAATCAACTAAGAACAAGAAAACAATAATTACCAGTATACTGAAAAAACTTAAAAGAGGATCCAAAAATATTGACCCTTTGAGATACAAGGAAAAGAGGAAAGGAAGAGTGAGATTACACAGGATTCCTGAGAACTCCAATTAGAATAGAAAAATCAAATAAAAGGCATAGATACAAAGGTAAGAGAGAAATGAGTTACGCTACATCAGAATGATAATGCTTTACAGGTATAGCTATTTGACTACACTTCCACCACTAAATTCATCATGGAAGCAAATTAACAAGTTAGTTTTTTCTTTTCTCTCTAGGATACTTATTATCAGAAGTATGAAGCCTACCAACAGTGTTTTACATATAAATGGATGAGTTAGATTTTGTATAGAAGTTAATATAATTTCGACATGATAAGCTACACAAACCTGATCTGTGAGAGCAATGATGCATGCTGTCGAAGATCCAACCTTTTTAGTCCTAGCATGCGCTTTCTCTAACACCCTTGCAGGATCAATGGACCCCTTTGGTTCTTCTTTAATTGCAGCTACTGCATTAGTCATTAGTTCTCTGGCATATTCTCCTGCATCAATACCATGGAGCGCCCATCCACCTACACCATCAGCCACACCAATGGCTAGCTCATCAAATATGAAATGGGCATCCTCTCCACCAGTTGCCTCTTTATTTGGGTGTGGCAATGAACATGATCCACACAACAGCTTTAAGGTTCTATCACCTGGAGACTTCCTGTATATGCAAGACAACTTTATATCACGTCTATAATTAGTTAGCAAGCAAATTATATTTGTATTGTATATTATGTTTAATCTGGGGTATGGGCATGAAAAAATTTCCTAAGTGATGAAGAGAATATACAGATGAGAGGGCTTGCAAGGTGGTGGCGGATAGTTGGTTGGTGTTGGGGGTTTCATAACTAGGTAAATGACTCCTTCATTCTACCCTATTTTGTTCTTCAACGATGAAAATAATCACTGATTTGCATGCAACATAAATAAATAAAAAAAGAAAAAAAAGACGAGCTAGATGTATTGAGACTTGAGGGAAGATTGAGAGCTAGATGCAAAATGTTGATATATTTTTATTTGGAGCTTTCCAAACTTGAACCAAACTCCAATGTTGAAAGGAAAATGACTTAATGGTGGTGATGTTAATGGATTATAAAATAACACGATATAGATTTGAGATTCACGCAAGGTATCAGATTTATAGGGTCCAGCATTTCATATTCCAATATGCTAAATCCAATGCTGTACAAACAGCACACAATCTGAAGACAAGACTAATTAGCACTATTGATAAAGGAAGATCAAAACTCGAGTATGAAAACAATGAAAGGAAGTACCACAAACTCATATGCCATTGCCTCATATGGTTATAAGATCCCACCATCTCAAATATAACAATCAAGTGCAATACAGTGAAGATGGGACCAATCAAGTTTCTAGTGTATGAAAAAATTGTAAGATCAGTCCAAATTTATATGTATGTAGGATTTCAAATATTATGATAGCAAAAGATCAACTAATGCTAAATGCCAATTGAGGCTACATAAGTCAGAAGAACCACATCTCAGATATCAAAGAACCACAGACATCAACTTCCTAGCTAAACCTCAAGGTAAGACAAGGCTAACTTCTACTTCAGAATCTTACTTACTTGATTGCTCAAGTTCTATCAATCGATAGAAGCTCAGAACAAAGTAATTGTTACAGAACTGATACTTTGGGGTCTCTATCAGACATACTAAGTTATTATGTTAGCCTTATCCTATTTAACATGGTTATGGTTAGAAGATAGGCTATTGTAGCAGAGTCTAAAACATCCAGTCCAAGAATGTTATACAAAAGCTCTCTTTGAAGTCATGAATGGGGAGTATAAGTTTTATATAGAGAGATATGGATGTTGTATGAAATAACTCACTAAATAATAACAAGCAGCTAGCTTTGTGATTTAAATTGGCTCAAAATATGATTTTTATAGAATTTCCTAAGTCAGAAGAGAACCGAATAGGTTGAAGGATAGGAAATGTTCCCTTCACTAAATTATTAAAAATGTATTTATGATTTTGATTAATTTTTATGCTTTCGATGTTACTTATTAAGATATTAAAGGGCTCCATTATCAGTACGCATGTCATAAATTACTCATGACCCTATATGTACATCTGTTGGTATATAATATTGTACCTGCCAAAATATTACCTTAATGTTTTACAAAGTACCAATAGTTTAATAACCAGTATGAATGTCTACACATCAAAACATGATATATATCATAATGCTTAAGCAGACAACTAGGCCAGAAGGATTTCAGACCGCTAGTTTTTTTTTAAGTGTTACTAAATATAAATAAGAGGCCAATGAATTATGTCTCAGGGGAGCACTTCTTACACATAATCTTAAATTTTTCCTTTTGGGGGGAAGCAAAAATTTGAAGCGTAGTGCACAATTTTGTGATACTTTGTCTATACAAGGCAACAGATGTCTTTGAGGCTCCATGTGCAAAAAATATAAGATTTTCAAAGAGCTAATCGGAATGCAACGCAGAACTATGGATGCACACCCAATGAGCTATTCAAACAACAACCAGGATAATGGCAAATTCATGAAAGGGGCAAAAGGCAGATAGTAACATACTGATCAGTGGCAACCTGAGAATCTTCAACCTTTTCTTCTTCTCGGGCCACATCAGAATGAACATCAGCATCTGCAGTCACTGCCGCAGAACTGGGTTCAGTACAAAAAGCCTCAGAATCCTGAATCCCCGGCTCACAAGAAGGCTTCGAACTCCGATTGATCCCAGTTGCATTAGACCAGAAGAACTTATACAGCATGCTAGAACCCCTCGACTCCTGATTGTTCAACTTGGCACTCACTCTTCCACAATACGCATGAGTGCTATAACCATAGCTCATAATTGCCCTAGATTCCAACATCGGCTTGAGACGCTTTGCACCCAACGAGATGGGTCTTGATGAATTGCTGCAGGCCGACATTGCGTTCAAGCCNAAGCCGCTAGCAGACATTGGATTTATCTTCCAGCGCACACGAGCTATTAATTTCACTATGAAAATCTTTGGAACCTCAAAAAGAATGCAAATTGCAGCTGCTGCTCATAAATAAAGAAGGGTATTTATCGAAATCAAATGAGCACAAAGCATCCTAGCGAAGCTGAAGAGGGGAAATATCACAAAATGAGAGAGATAGGTCTGACACTTAAAACCCTACGCTGAAATTATGAGGAAAATCTAATAAAAGGAAAAGGCTTTTGGATAAACCCGCAAGATTTACCACCCAAAATGTTAGGATACGGAAAAAACCCTAATTTGAGGGTTTAGAGCCAAACTAAAGGGACTTGGAGGAAAGTGATAAAGGGGACTCACGAGTTTTGATGGCTCGGCGGCGAGAGGATAAAATAGAAGAAGGGCATTAATGAGAGGGAAACGCGACAAAACTAAAAATTTCCCGTCTTCTAACCAATAATTTGCCCTAAAATGGGGAGAACAAATTATTCTCAAATAAGAAAATGATACGATTTTCTTAAGGCAAATTACACTTAAATATCCTATTGTTGCCCCATATTGCACCGAAATACCTTAAGTTTAAAATCCTACACTTAAATACATAAAGTTTCTAAAAAGTTGCGTTGTAATACCCTCTTTAGAATATCAAAGTGCAAAATTTATAAACTTTAGATAATTATAGATTGAAAAGTAAATATATTTTAAGTAGAAAGAATTATTTGGTGTAGATTTAGTTAATATGATGCTTTTTTTGGGAGTTATTTCAAATTATTTAAGTTTTAGAGGACCAATATCTTAAACCCTTTTTCTTCTTGAAATCAACAAAAGTTGTGGGATTATAAACTCTTGTTAATGTCACTTGCCAATAAATTTTCAACAATTCTCAATCAATGTTATCCGCGAGTCGGGGTGTCCAAAAAGTCCGCCGGCCCGGGCCCAGCCCAGAGCTCGTGTGTATATATATACTCTCTCTTAGTATATAAGTATATATAAGTATACTCTCTCTTATATATGTATAATATATGTATGTATGTATATATATACTTTCTCTCTTAGTATATATGTATATATAAGTATACTCTCTCTTATATATGTATAATATATGTGTGTGTATATATAAATACTCTCTTTTAGTATATATGTATATATAAGTATACTCTCTCTTATATATGTATACTCCCTCTTATATAAGTTTACTCTCTCTTATATATGTATAATATGTGTGTGTATACTCTCTCTCTCTCTCTTAGTATATAAGTATATATAAGTATAGTATATTACAACGGCTACTTCTTCCCCATTGGCCCAACGGGCAATGGCTACTTATGCGATTCTCTCTCTCAAGTTATAACTTATAACTACATACAATATATTACATATAATATATGTATATATAATATATAGTTACATAATAATTTGTAAGTATATACTAATACATAATTATATAAAATATAATAATGTTAAACTAATTTTAAATATTTTTTTATCAAAAAAAAGAAAAGAATTTTTTTAAAAAAAACCTAGTTGGGATGTACTTATCTATTATGATGCGATGAATTCCAAAATAAATTTATACTTGTAATTTGTAAATAATTTATTAATTATTAATAAAGAATTTATTTTTATAATTTTTTATTTGTAATTTATGTCATTTTAAGTGATTAATAAAATTATTGTTTTTTATTAATTTTTTTGTCTTTTTTTGTATAATTTAAATTTTAAATAGAATTTTTAAAAAAATAGAAAATAAAACGAACCCGGCTCGGGCCGGGCCGGGTCGGGCCGGCCCGGATGGACACACCTATCCGCGAGTGAAATTCTCTAAATTCTTAGTAAATTCTCAGTTTCGCCTATGTTTGCAAATGTGAAATTTTCTAAATTATTAACTCTTATGTATGTCTTCATATGTTCTGGAGATATACCCTCTGAATTTATAATGCATCAAAAAAATATGTCTAATATGTATCTTTGTTAAGAGTTGTAATATAGAATAAATTCCATGCAGATTCACTAATCCAAATAAACAAGTGTTATAGTCATTTTAGTGCTGAAAAGTAATCTTCAATCAATGGCAGACAAGTGTATCACATTATGCATAATCGGACTAGCACGTCAAAATAACCCAAGACTCAGTTCGGACGACTTGACACACTGACAACTCACGAGGACGACTCAAATGGCGTTACGTATCGACCCCTGGCTAGGCCAACTTCTTGATCGACCTACTCGACCAGTCATTCAGCCGACATCTTGCAAATGCGACTCAAAGGACGGTACTTCTTGATCACCGGACGAGTAGAAAGGCGACGAAATTCCTCAAGCCTCGAGACCCCTCCCGCGCACTGATAGTCAATCAACTTCTCAATAAAATGCTATTAAATGCATTGTGGGCGTCATCATTCCTCTGCGCCTAATAGTCATTATGACATATCGGACCACGTCGGCACCGCACGCCCCCAATCACTTCGCATTAAATACCGAAGTGACATCTCCTCCATTCGTCGACCGACACCTGTAAAGCAGATGCTAACATGATCATCATCCCATACTCGGCCGAAGTTAGCATTCTACCATTCTATCACCACTATAAATAGGAGTACTATTTTCAACAATAAGGCAAGATCTTTACCTCTGCCCACTGTGCTTAAGAACTACCGCAGTTCATTTTACTTCTCCACTCAAGAAAATCGCTGACTTGGTCGTCAGAGGAACAAGCGGGGAACCCAACCCCGTCCTCTTACGATTTGCTAATTGTGCAGGGAAGAACAACCTACTTTAAAACCGGGCATTCAGAGGGTTAGAAGACCTCCGTTAACTTAATTGCTTCTTTCATCGACTGTTTGGTATTGCCCATCAACAACAAGCATGCTTCAAGATTCCAAATAAGTAGATATCATATATTGATTTGCAATCTTCCATGAGTCCTCATTCATTGAATTCAATAAAGGGTAAATTCCACTAAACCTCCAAGAACTTTCAGCATTTTGCAATAAACCCTCATTAACTTTCGAAATTGCACTAAATGCTCAATAAATTTTGCAAAAAACCCCGATATCTCTTAGGTAAATTATGTAAAAAGGCATTTTGAAAGCTATTTGGGGTTTAGTGGAATTTTGAAGTTATTGGGTGTTCACTGCAAATTGCTGAAAGTTCTTGGGGGTCTATTGTAATCTACCCTTCAAGAAACAATTGAGGGTGGATTTCCATTGCATAGCCGAGTCGAACTTTTATTTTTATCCAGTCCGGTAGAAGGCCGGCGAGTCTGTTGGAAGATACAAAAGAATTCCAAAAACGATAATCAACTCACTAGAACTCGTTAGCATATGTTGACCACCAAGTATTCAGTTCAGAAATAAATTAGAGAATCGAAGGATATATTTAATTAATTGTACTAGTTACCCTAAGCATTAAAGCATTCTACGGAGGTAAGAATATGTTACTGCTGATGAAAGGATGTCTTTTGGCTATGTAATTACTTTTTCCACCTCCTTTGAGTGACACCAATTAGTTAATTAACAATCAGAATATCTATTAAAAACATTTAAACTGCTTAAGAAAAAGCAGCTTCCCAACCAACTATCAAGATATAACTCCTCCGTAAAGAATCCACATATCTACTGACAAAATCTACATCTATACATATGAGTAGTGAATACATTTTGTTCTCGTGCTTATACATTTAATGATAAGCATCAGCTTCTCATCTCAGAGAGAACATATGTCAGTCATTGTTACATACTCAAACTACCTCGGCAACGGAGCAGGAAGTAGGCAGTAGTTAGGAGATGGGTCGGGTGGAGAAGTTTTCTTCACAGACATTTTCCGTTCAATAGATATGAAGCGGTTTGAGCCTCCAAAGCTCTCAATGGACCTCATGTACTCTGAAGCATTATTCTCTATAATCAAAGCATCCTCTAGTTCACGAACAACATCAACCATGTTTGGTCGATAAGTGGAGAAGGGCTCGATGCATGCTAATGCAGCCTCTACAACCCTCCACATTGCTTCTGCGTGGTAACTGGTCATTATACTTGGATCTACAATCTCTTCAATTCTTGATTCTCTGATGAATGGCTTTGCCTGTACTCAAATTTTATTACATTGGTTATATCCAGCTTTAAATCAAAGATTTTTGTCACACGGTTAGTTTAACTGCAGTCGATATGATCTCTGCAGGATGCCCAGGTGACTGATGATCGAAACAAATGCTAAACCTTTATGTATTTAACTCTAGAAACCTCTATTATGAACTTGAGTGTGTACAAAAGCTTGTTTTCTAGATCATAATTGAGGTTTCTTGCTGTATGCTTTCAAGTATCTTTTATACCTCTTTATCTTGTTGTATGTTTAATTATTAACTTTTTAATGAAACATTGGGAGGTTTAGGCCTCACGATTTTATTAAAAAGTAACAATCTAGGTTTACAGGTTTGAACTTTGAAATGTGAATAATATATTTCAAAGGGAGGACTAAAAAACTGAAACATACCCATTCTACTAAGCTCCATTCATTTTGTGGTCTATGTATATTTAGCGGCTCTCTTCCAGTCACAATTTCTAGAAGCACCACTCCAAAGCTAAATACATCACTTTTAGTCGATAGTTGCTGGGTTGAATAGTACCTGAAACAAAGCAATTCTAGCTTTTTTCAGCTTTTCATTTGAAGTTTTATCATATAGTTCATGTTAGAGCATGGAAACACTTCTAACTTACTCTGGGTCTAAATACCCAGCTGTTCCTCTTACTTCCAAAGAAGCACCACTATCTCCCTCTTGAGGTGCATATTTAGAGAAACCAAAATCTGCCACCTTGCCACGCATAGAATCATCTAGAAGAATGTTGCTCGTCTTCACATCCCTGTGTATGATGCATCTCCCAGCAAAAGTGTGCAGGTACATTAAACCTGGATTAATTAAGATATACAACCTGAATAAAACTGTACCACAAGAATAAATATGAAGTAAAAAAATAAGAGGAGAATGCTTGCCTCTAGCAGCACCGAGCGCAACAGAGAGTCGGGTTGGCCAGTCCAGCGCCTTTCTTTTTGATGCTTCCCCTGTGAAATGAGAATTATCATTAAATGAAAAGGAAATTACATAAAAAAAAGTTCTATAATCATATCTTAATGTGCTTCAGGTAAAAATTATTACCATAAAGACGATCTTGTAGTGAACCATTTGACATGAAAGGATAAACTAGAATTTGCTGATCATTTTCACAGCAGTAGCCAAGAAGGGGAACCAAATTTTCGTGCCGGATCGTTGAAAGAAGTGTTACCTGTGCAACAAGGTTTTGCAAGGTTTCATCAGAGGCGTTCTTGTTCATAAAAAAGCCAGTTATTGTTCGAAATTGCCAGTTAGTGTAGATAGTAAGAGAGTTCAAATATCTGATTCCTCATAACAAGGAAATATAATATGTCAAAGATGATATAGAAAAAAGTATAGTACCAGAGAAGCTAAAACTACTAGATATACTGTAAACATAAAAGTATATGTTATCTTCAAAAATTCCGTCTCCCAAAGAAGCTGGAGATCTACATTACCACTCCTTTATGGCGTTAACCAGTATCAAGCATGTATTCATTATCAAATACATATTGGATATAGATAGCTCTCCTTTATTCAAATATCTACACAACATACCACGACTGAGAAATAAATGTTTTTACAGGAAAAAAGTTAAGAAAAGCCTCAATCTTCAAAATGTTATACCTCATTATCAAACTCACGGGTTCCTTGAGTTGATGTGGCTGACCGGACCTTTACAGCAACCTCTTCTCCGTGTGGTAAAGTTCCACGGTAAACAGCTCCAAATCCCCCCTCACCAATCAGAGTACTGAAATTTCTTGTTGCTCTTTCAACATATTGAAGAGAGAAGGATTTTACTGATGGGCTCATAGGAGGTCCACTGAAGCTGGATTCCGAGAATACTGCATCTGCAAATTTAGGACAATGTAGATGATAAAGACAAAATATTAATCAGACCACAAAGACCTTAATCATAACCTTTCATGTCACAGTCAATGTTCAAACTTGTATCTGTTTAATTTAGCTTCATGTAATATGGTACGATAAGTCAATTTGTCATAAAGTTAATCTTCAGGGCTTTGATTAATAGATGCAACTTTTATAACTGAATTATATAAAACTCATGGGTTAGATAATGCATTTCAAAAATTAACATAAAACCATGACATGATGAATTTATCTACAAAATGTCCTTTTCAAGGTTTAAACATTATATACATTGCTGAACTTACGAAATCAAGCTTCTTGGCTGTTAAGTGGATATATAATAGAAAAGGGATTTGGAGAGTGTAAAGAACATACTCTTTATAACTGGGTACTGTTTTTTAGGTCGAGCACGTCTGTAGAAACATGTGAAAAATATCCCAAGTGTGACAGTAAATGCCACAGATCCTCCGGCGACAGTTCTGAGGACATAAGTACTTTGTTCACGGTTTTGTGCTAGTGAAGAGGCTTTAGAAACACAGCTTTCATTACTGATGGTCACATAAAAATAGAAAATTAGATAATGTGTAATATACTTCTGATGATAAGAAGCAAATATAGGTTGTATCATTTGTACTTACTCTACAGTTAGATTTTCCCTATTAGATAAACCAGGAGGAAGTCGGCTGCTGACGTTTGGATTGCAACCGATAGACCTATAAAGTACACAAGTACTTTTAGGTTTTAACAAATAGAAAAACACTCCTTTAAGTTGGAAGATAAATATGTCTGCTCCTTGCAGATGTACATAAAATGAAAACTGTGATGAAAAAGGGAGTCAAAGATAAATAGCAAAGAAATATCAATCTTACAGTTTTGACAAATGGTGCAGTGAGGCAAAAGATTCTGGGAGAGACCCTGTGAAGTAATTCTTTTGCACGTCCCTGAAGAGAGAAGGTTTACAAAATTTCAGAACCTTAAAAACAGTAAGTCCTATGTAAAGCAAAATTATGATCTCAGGCGTACAGTTCCTTTAACTCTGCTAGATCACCAATGACTGTAGGTAATGGTCCACGCAAATTCATAGACGAAAGATCGCTGAAAGAAGTGATATTCTCTTTAAATTAGCATCTCTAAATTTTTGCAACTGAAGTGTCTAAAAAAGAAAAAGTATGTACCACGCCGTGATTATAATAATAAAATATAAAAGTGTGAAAGAACCATTAGCTTAAAATCAGAAGAAATAAGCGTACAGTTTAGTGATGACAAAGCTATTGTTCCTCTCTTCACAGGTTAAACCTTGCCAGGTAGGAGGCATACATGGGTCTCCGTAGAATCTTTCCAACATCACATTTTCAGGGTTTTCAGCCACTAACTCTTCCTTTATTTTCACCACCGCATCCACTGCAAGTTTTTGCAGACGCCGGTATTTTAATCCAATAGCAGAAAACCAAAAGAAAAGATGAATTTTGGTGTGCGTGTAACTGTAGATGTTGCTAGGCTTATTTTTCAGAAGTTCTATATTAAAATCTTCCAACGAAAGGACCTAATGGAGAAATATATGACATCTTAAATTGCAAAATTGGAATTACAAACATAAAGGTCTTTGCCAGTCAAGTGCACAAATAACTGGAAACAGAAAAAGAAGTAGAAGTTCTTTTCTTGACAAAACAAAAAGGAAAGCCAATCATTTAATTGTGACTAAGCAAAGCCTTACTTCCATTTCAGCGATCACCCAGTAACGAAAAATATTCTTTATTTGCACTATTTTGGTATGCTGATTATATGCTTAAAATATACATGTTATTGTTCTGTTGTACTAGTCTATTTTCCTATTCCCCCGGGCTTTCTTTTTAGTTACTTGAAAAAATAGACTAGAAATAGTTTGGTTTCTTAGTATGAAGTTCAGAAATCTTTGTACAAAAGAAATACACATTTTGTGATGGTTGTAGGCTAACAACATCTATAAAAATATGGTATAAATTGATCCTTGGGTGCAGGGGAAAATATGAAATGTTTGTGAGAAACAAAAATAGACACGTACAATCTCGCTGCACTGTTTCAGTAGCTTTCCGATGCACCTGAAAGATCTCATAGGCATTGCAGACT